GTAACACTTTTGAAGGCCCATCACATATCACAGAGGCTCTGTTACCCTTAGGCCTCTGGCAGAACTCTCTTAATAGTTCTTGTCTATTGATATGGTGCGCATGGTTCTGTGGATAAGGGTTAAAGCTAATCACGCACGTGTCAGAATCGGGGGCGCACGTCATCAATCGCGCGTCTTCCCAACACCGCGTGTCATATTTTTGATTCGTCACACCATATAGCCACTCATCACGTTATTTCTCCCAACAAACGGTTCAGTTCAAATCCCTCACTATAAATACCCCATTCCCCCCAAAACGTAAACCTTTACAATACCTTTCTTCTCAGACGAACCTGCAACTCTCAAGCTTTTCAAGAACCTGCAAATATCTCGTCTTCCTCAGCCTCAGCCCAATCTGCTAACGTTTCAAGCGACAATGAAGTAACACAAGCCGAAGCTTTAACATCTCACGCCTTATCTTTTGTCCAGAATCGATACGAAATAGTCGTCCTGGTAAAGAAACCAAACAATTACTTCTTTGTTCCTTCTTCTACTGGTTTCCCTGATTTCACCTTCCCTCTTCTAGAAATTCTTCGAAACCATCCCCTATTTTACGCCCTTTCAGCCACCAAACCTACGCCTAAGTCATATATCACCCAGTTCCTCCTAAGCTCCTATATTACAACCTTGGACAACACTGGTTTGAGCATAGTTGGCTATGCCTCTCACCCAATCAACAAATCCTTGGTGACCATGGAACTCAATGTTAATACTCTTCGAACTGCCCTGCACCTACCCTCCCTGGAATCTCTAAATTTGAATGCTTTCGCCCCAACCCCAACAGACTCCGAGCTAATTGAGTTTCTCGATTTTCATTCCTATGCCACCAAGACCAAAATTACCAAAAGGACTCAATTCAAACAAAAAGGCCTTCCCCCAATCTGGAACACCCTATTCTCAATAATAAACTGCTGTCTAACAGAGAAGGTTGGCAGTCATGATCAAACCTCTCACACAATGCTCTCAATTGTCTATGGGATTTACTTCAACCTGCCTCTCGATTACGCACAACTTATATTCGAGGATATGGTTGGACTAATCAAGAAGAAATGCGCGACACAGAGGGGTAAAAAGTCCAAGTTTAAGGCGCAGAAGAAGGCCAAGGAAGACCTGAACCATCCAAACCTCATTCTACAGAGGTTCC